TCCAGGTCAAACAGGCTTAAGCCAGGGGGGCGGGGGTAAGGCGTAGAATTTATGGCCCAGATAATTTAAGAGCTCAGAAATAGTAATGGCTTCAGGTACAGCTGGATGCAGGGGGTTCAAACAACACCACCCCAGCCCCTTCTGTGTTTACGTACAGTTTCTGCACGCCTGGGTCGTTGTTTTCACCCTCGGGCAAGACTCCCATTGGTGGTGAGATAGCGGCCAGCACCGCTGCGGGTTTCTGTGTCCCTGTTGCACACCCAGCAGGAGAGAGAAAGTTTCTCATCCTGTAGTTCCAACAAGACTCATGTGCCGGCCGGAGCCTCAGGCAGCCCTAATTGGGTCATATGGGCCCATTCCTCAATCAGTCCTGGGACGAAGGGAATGTGGTTGTCTGGTTGCCGGGGCCGGAGTCACTCCCTCATCCCACACCATTTCCCCGGCTCTGAGCTGGGCAGAGGTGCCGCTGTCCTGGGCGGATGGGGAGCTGGGAGGTGTGCTGGCAACAGCAGGGACAGTGGGTCTCTTATCAGGTGGCAGTTACAACAAATGCCCTGCCTTTTACCTTTTGTGTTCCTACACTCTTTCCTGAGTGCAATTAGTACCTGATCATAGGCCAAGTTTTACTGAATTCATAGTGTTACAGAAACGTTTGAAGTTGTTTAGATATTCACCATCTGCCTTGAAATGGATTAATTTTAGACAGAAACCACTTTAAGATCTGAGAGAGGGAAAGAACAATTAAGCAAGGATGACAATTGAATGTTTGCCTTAAACTCTTAAGAATTCTATTTTTGAAGAGTTTACAGCTAATATCGTATTTAATGATGAAAGTCTGAGTGCTTTCCCCCTAACATCAGCAAGAAGGCAAGGAAGTTCATTCTTACCACTTGTATTCAGTATCTCACCGGGCGCTGAACCAGTCCCATGGAGCAAGAAAAAAAAATAAAAGGCACAGACTGAGAAGAAAGAAAACTGCCCCTAGTCACAGATGACATGATTTTCTACCTACGAAATCCCAAGGAATCTGCAAAATAACTCCTAAAACTGATAAGTGATTTAGCACATTTGCAAGATACAAAGTTAACACACAAAAATCATTTTTTTCTGTGTACTAACAATGTATAGCTGGAAATAGAAATTTTAAAACTATTATTTGTAATAGCTCCAAAATTACAAGATTAAGTGTATATCTGACAAAATATATGTAGAATCTGTAGGCTGGAAATTATAAAACACTGACAAGAATTTATAGACCTAAGTAAATGGAGAGACACACCTGTTCATGGATTAGAAGATTCATCACAATAATCATGTGCATTCCCCCCAAGCTGGTTTATAAGTTTAATGTAATTTTTTTTAAGATTTTATTTATTTAGAGAGAGAGTGAGTCTGAGCAGGGGGGAGAGGGAGTGGGAGAAGCAGACTCCCCTGCTGAGCAGGGAGCCCGACTCAGGGCTCCATCCCAGGACCCCAGGATCATGACCTGAGCTGAAGGCAGTTGCTTAACCGACTGAGCCACTCAGGCACTCCAGATTTAATGTAATTCTGATCAAAATCCCAGTAGTATTTTTGTAGATCCATCAGAGAAGATAATTCTAAGCTCTATGTGGAAAAGCTAAAGGAACTAGGAACTCCTAAAACAATTTTAAAAAGAAGAAGGAAATAAATAAAAATAAAAAATAAAAAGAAGAAGGCAGTTGCAAAAATCACATTATCCTATTTTAAGACAGTGATCAAGGCCCTGTAGTATTGGTGAAGGGACAGACACATAGATCAATGAAACAGAATAGAGATCCTGGAAATAGACCCATGCAGAAATGCCCGATGGATTTTTGACAGAAGTGCAAACGCCATTTGAAGAAGAAATGATAGTCTTTTCAACAAGTGGAGCAACTGGGCAGCCATATGCCAAAATTAAAAATGAACATCCATCTAAACATCACATTTTTTGAAGGTTTATTTATTTATTAGAGAGAGTGCATGAGTGGTGGTGAGGAAAGCAGGGGGAGAAGGGGCAGAGGGAGAGGAAGAAGCAGAGTCCCCGCTGAGCAGGGAGCCCCATGTGGGGCTCCGTCCCAGGACCCTGAGATCAGGACCTGAGCCGCTCCACCAACTGAGCCACCCAGGTGCCCCTAAACATCACATTTTATACAAAGATGAACTCAGAGTCTATTATAGATTTAAAAGAAAAGGGGACAAATATAAAACTTTTAGAAAAAAAAGAAAAATCTCAGTGACCTAGAGTTGGATAAGACTTCTCAGATATCCAAAGCACAGGTCGTAAAAGAAAAAAAAAATTGATAAAGTTGGACTTTATAAAAAATAAAAGCTTTTGTTTTATGGAAGATAACCTTTAAGAAAATGAACACGTATCAAATCATCAAGTCGTACATCTTAAGTTATATGCAATTTTTAATTGTCAGTTATACCTCAACAAAGCTGGAAAATAAGTATTGAACAGTCTACAGACTAGGAGGAAATGGTTGCACATCACCTATCCCAACAGATCTGAACTTGCATCCAGGATATATAAAGAATTTTCAAAACTCAAAATAGTAAGAAAGCAACTCAACTTTAAAAATGGGCAAAAGAGCACTGGGTGTTATACGCAAACAATGACTCATGGAACAGTACATCAAAAACTAATGATGTACTACTGTATGGTGACTAGCATAACATAATAAAAAAAATAAAAAATAAAAATAAATGGGCAAAAGCTTTGAGCAGAACTTCACCAGAGAGGGTACATGGATGGCAAATAAACACACCAAGAGCTGTTCAGCACTATTAGCCTTTGGGGAAATGCAAATTAAAACCATGATGAGATGCCACTCCATACATATTACAACGGCTAAAATGCAAAATACAACATCCAGTGCTGCTGAGTGAACGAAGCCGCTGGTACTCATACATTGCTGGTGGGACTCGGAAAAACCATTTGGTGGTCTCTTAATAAAAGTTAAACACACTCTTATCATATGACCCAGCAATCCCTCTTCTGGGTAGAAACGTAGAAGAAAAACTTATATTCACGCAAAGACTGGTACATAAATGTTTATAGCAGCTCTAATCATAGTCACCCCAAACGGGAAACAACCCACATATTCTTTGGGGAGGGAATGGATAAACACACTAGTGTGATCTATTGGGCAAGAAAAAGGAACATACTATTGATATGCACAAAACTGGGATGAATCTCGAAGGCCTTATGCTCAGTGAAAGAAGCCAGTCTCAGAAGGCTGCCTCAAGTATGATTCTATTTATATGACCCTCTCAAAAAGACAAAACCATAGTGTGTAGAACAAATTAGTGGCGGCCAGACATTGGGGGGGGTGGCTGTCTTTAAAGGTATCGCTTGAGGGAGTTCTTTGGGGTGATGGAACTGTTCTATGATCCACAGCCTAATCTTGATTATGGTTGTAAGAATTTTCGCACAGGGGCGTCTGGGTGGCTCAGTTGTTGAGCGTCTGCCTTCGGCTCAGATCATGATCCCGGGGTCCTGGGATCGAGCCCCACATCGGGCTCCCTGCTCGGCGGGAAGCCTGCTTCTCCCTCTCCCACTCCCCCTGCTTGTGTTCCCTCTCTCACTGTCTCTCTCTCTGTCAAATAAATAAATAAAATCTTTAAAAAAAAAAAAAAAAGAATTTTTGCACATGTTCAAAATCATAGGACTAAACACTAAAAAGGTCAGTGTTACCATATGATAAATACACTTACGTACACACACAGACCTCAAGACTCAGGTTGGTGCAGACAAGTCCAGTGTTTGCAAAAGGAGGTCTGTGTTTAATGGTGAGGAATTTCTGCTTTCTGGTGTGTGATTCCTGTGAAGAGCAAAGCCTCCTGTGGCCTGATGCTGCCCTCGTTCCCACCAGGGCTATCTGATCTCATTGTTCTGAGTGCTATAGGGCATGGACAGAAAGGGAACTTCTTAACTCTGTATCTTCAGGGCAAGCCAGGGCCGGCTGCTCATTTGGCCCGGGGACACACATGTCACATGGATCGCAGAGGAGGTTGGGAAGGCTTGGCAAACACCCTTGAGCTATGTTTTGAAATTTCCAATGTGGGGGCGCCTGGGGGACTCAATCAGTTAAGCGACTGCCTTGGGCTCAGGTCATGATCCCAGGGTCGTGGGATGGAGCCCTGCGTCGGGCTCCCTGCTCAGCGGAGAGTCAGCTTCTCTCTCTCCCTCCACCCCTTCCCCAACTCATGCTCTCTCGCGCTCTTCTCTCAAATAAATAAATAAAATCTTTTAAAAAATAAATAAATGAAATTTCCAAAATGGCAAACAGGTGAAGTGAGAAAGCAGAGGCAGGAAGGAGACAAGTCTTGGAGACTGGGCCATAGGGCAGAACTGAAATGCTGGGGCTGGGGCTGGGCTCTCCCCCATTCACCGTGGGAGAGTGATCCTCTTCATGAAGAAGAGGGTAGAAGACAAACTCCTCGGGAAACACCAACACCAGTGTGAAAGGGGGTGTCCAGAGGTGGGGGAGATGGAGGCCCACTCATCCTGGCTGGATTCCTCCACACATCCATCTGGTTTTGCCCTAGGACGGTGTAGTCTGAGAATTCTTTCTTGGCACCCCAGCATTCTCTTGGCAGAGTTTCCTTCCCAGCCAGACTGGACCCTTGTTTGGCCACATCAAGCATCCCCTCCAGCCAGATTGCTGATTGTCACAATCCCCTATCCTCCCCCATGAGGCTGGGCAGTCATGCAGGGAGCGTGGGGTTCTGATTGCTTCTGTCCTCTCTGTTTCCAGCGTGGCACAAGGAATCAGACCCTCCGTACTCCTCCCAGTCACGTGTCTTCCCTCAAGTAAAACAGTACTTGGCAAGTCATTAGGGAAGGTCCTTCCCTCCGTCCACCTCAGAGTCTCCTTCTGAATTCCAGCCACGTCCCTGTAATTGGCCTTCAGCTCCAGACCCGTTTAGAGAACCACACTGGCCCAAGGGCCAGCCCAGCTCCTCTCCTGTGCGTTGCCACCAGGAAAGAGGAAGTGACCTGCAGCTCCATGAAAGGACCAGGCTCCAGATCAGGTCTGTGTGACTTCAGAGCCGAGCGCTTCACCCCACACATGCCTTCCGAAGATGCAGGCGTGACTCTTCCCTCAACGGCCCGAACATGTAGACCGTTGAATACAGTACACTCCAGCTGATTCCCCCCAGACGAGCCCGAGGCTGGTGGGTTGAGTTTGCGTAAGCAGGTTAAAATAAGAGGAGGCTCACAGCGGGGACATGGCAGAGTCAGGTGGCTTCCCTCGACCTCTTCTCCATGGGAAACAAATGAATTAACGATGTGATTCACACTCCCCCTCAACCCACGCTCTGAAGTGAACCACCCTTCCCATCTTGCCAAATCTTCCCCTGCCCAAACCGTGGATGTGGGATTCTCACTCTCCTCCTGTCTTTGCTGTCTTTTTCCCTGACCCCTTGGTTTTGGGGTGTTTCTCCCACTGTCCTTCTTCCTCAGAGGCAACCCCTGCCTGTTGAATTCCTATTCTCAAAGATGCATCTGAACTTCTGCCTTTCTTAATCCAGCCTCATCCTTATCTCAAGGTAGCCTTGCACTCCGACAGCTTTGGGGCGGCTCCCCTGCAGAGTAGCAAGGTCTCTTGTCTATGATCGCTGGGCACGTCGCACCTCCCTGCTGGGAGGTGCGTTCTCAAGGGCAGGGGCGGCACCCCCTTGTTGGCCTCACCCCGCTGCACTGCCCATAGTGCCCACAGACGTCACTCAGCACTTGCAGGACTCGCTCAGGGCTGCACGAGGTCCTGGTGATCATTTCCCAGTCGCCGTGGTATTTGCTGTCCTGTGAGCATGGTGGCTCTCCTCCATCGGATCTGTCCTGCTCCCAGACCATCTTCCGTGGGAACACTGGGAGGAGAGTCCTCATCAGTCTCAGTGCACAACTTAATATCTAACTTATGGCATCTCAAGAAGACATTGGCTTGTGGAGGTATTTGGTGTGACCTCAAGGAGTTTAAAAATTGTCTTTAAGCTTCACATTTAAAAATGAAGTGGTTTCACACCAAGACTCAGATTCTTAGTTTCTCTTTTAAAAATGCCGGAGATGAGGCCACCATAGACCCTCATTTCCATGTGACAGCGCTTGGCTGGAGTTGTGGGGGCCACCACAGACCCCGGGGCGTGCTTCTCACTACCGCTCTGACCCCCTGGCCTTGGACGGTTGCAATCCTTGGTGTAAACTGAAAAATCATTAGCATCTATTTAAATGCCCTGTTTAAGAATGGTTCCTCGTTTTCAGTTTAGGACAGGTGACCAAGTTGCTGTTATTTCCCCAAGTGGTAGAAAGGTTCTTCTGTTTTATGTGTATTTTCAACGTCTGTGCCCTCCGTCTGCAGACATCTTTCAGTTGTCTGGAATCTGTGGCCCCAGCCCAGCTCCAGTGCCGACCGCTTGTCCATGCGGCCACTGCAGCTTCTTAGACATGTTGGAGGAGCTCTTAGCCCCGTTTTGTCTGTCCATCAGGGAGGAGGGACAGGTCAGATCACTGCTTCCGCAATCACCTTTCCACAGTCGTCCCTACCCTCCCCAAGGGGAAAGGTCGATGTGACAGGGAAGGCCCACCTTCCCTGAAGGGAGAAGAAAGAAGAGGAAGAGAATTTTCTTCATTTTACACTTCATCGCATTGAATCCCTCCCCTAAGACCCTGAGTCAGGTATCATTCCTTCTAGACTGATGCTAGAACTAAGGCACCGAGAGGCTGTTGTTGACCCTCTGTCCCAAGGCAAGGACATAAATAGTGAGCAGAGCTTGGGCGACTTCGTATCTAACTTACGGCGTGTCCCCCGTGTCCGTCTGCCTTAGGGTCTTCAACCCCGTCCCACCAGGTTTCTAAGACTGGTGTTTGTGGAAGTGTTTACTAGTTGGAAGACACTTAAGAGCGAAGCTAAAATCAACAAAACTTGAGCGTCTGCCAACTCTAAATAGAAGCTTCTGTTCAGCTCTGCCCCGGGATTGGGTGGCTAGGCCTCCCCCCTCAATATCTCTGTATGTGGATGGTCTTCGAGGAAATAGGACCAAGTCAGATAAGATAAATGCATTGTAAACTAAGAATACATGTCCTTGGTTTTAAGATCAGCGTGCTTCCTGCATACATTTTCTCACTTGGTTCTCACATTTCTCAGGTACCTTCTTTGAAGTTTTTAGGTGAAGCAACCCCCCAAAAAAGGCACGACAGCTACATATGTGGTAGAAATGGCAAGTCCAGATTCCTGACTCTTCGTTCTGTTACGTGCTCCTGCTTGGTTTTTCCTTTATTTCTACAGGGTAGAAGTTAATTCTGAAAGCTCTGTTCTGGATACTTTTTGCTGTTGCTGTTATCACCTGTTGTTCATCCTTGCTCACACTTCCCGAGCCTTCTGCCAGGGGCGGGGCTGAGTTCTCCGCATTCCTTAGCCCTCCCCACCCTCACCACAGTGCTGGGAAATGCCAACTGTCTATTCTTCCTCTTCGATAGGGATACTGCATTGTCATAAGGGGTTTATGTAGGTGGCTTCCTCGGGTCCCACAGCTAGCAACTCTTAGAGCCAACTCAACTCCAGACCTGGTGACATAGACACATTTCTGATGTGACCCGTAACTTCACCTAGACTCAAAAACGCATGAGGATCAGGCCCCTGTGTGTGTGGTCCACAGAGCTTAGCGAAGTGGTTGGATGCAGCCGGGTTGCAAGTGATTAATTAATGACAGCTGATTTTTTTTTTTTTTAGGCTGTTAGTTTGATTTTTCTTTTCCCAAAGGGATTTTCAGGTCATCCTGTTCTCAGAATAATCCTGGTTTTCTGTTGGTTGTTTTGATTGATTTTTCTACCCTGTAATTGAAAATTAAGCTCCCAAACATCTCCTTTGTGGGCTATGAACTGCAATCCGTAATCACAACTTTTCTTTAAATTGATCATCTTCTTTTGAGCTGTTAATAAACATGTCTGGCTTCATTGGAGTTTTCAAATTGTTATTTCCAGATGGTGAGGCCTTCAGATTTGATAAGTTCATGCATATCCTACTAAGTGGAAGTTTGAACAAAATGCCACATTTTTGGCAGTCTTTGTGCTATTAATATGGTAATTAAAAGGAAAAAAGAAGTTTCCCTATATTTTTGTCTTCTGTCCCACCCCATGAAAAAGCCCATCAACTTGTCAACTGATCAAAATGGAAATGAATCACATTTAATATTATTACTTGCCTTTCTCTTTTTCCGTTTTTTTTAATCAATTTAGCTATCTGAATGTGTGTATATGTTTCTTTTTAATTGAGATGTAATCCACATAACCTAAAATTTAAAAACGATTCCATGGTTTTTAGTATATTCACTGTGTTGTGCAACCATCACCACAAACTAATTTCAGGGCATTTCCTTTTTTAATTTTTATTTATTTATTTTTAAAGATTTTATTTATTTGAGAGAGAGTGAGCAAGAGAGAGCACACGAGCAGGGGCAGAGGGAGAGGGAGAAGCAGGCTGGGATCATGACCTAAGCCTAAGGCAGACGCTTAACTGACTGAGCCACCCAGGAGCCCCAATTTCTGATCACACATCCCCAAAAGGAACCCCATACCTCTCCTTCACCCCATCCTGTGGCAACCACTAATCTGCTTCCTGTCTCTATGGATTTGCCTATTCTGGACATTTCATATAAATGGGATCCTATAACTATAGGTACGTAACGGAACGAAGAGTCAGGAATCTGGACTTGCCGTTTCTACCACAGTTATCAATGAGCATAAAATTTTCAAGACGTATCCATGCTCTGCCGCGTGTCCGTGCTTCGTTCCTTTCCATGGCTGAATAGTGTTCCATTATATGGATATACCACAGTTTCTCTACCCAGTAATAAGTGGATAGACATTTATTATTTTCACTTTATGGCTATTATAAATAATGTTGCTATGAACATTTGGGTACAAGCTTTCATGTGAAGGCATGTTTTAAATTTCCTTGAGTATATGGTTCAGAGCAGGATTGTTGGGTCATAGGCTAACTGTGTTTAACTTCTTGAAGAGCTATAGTTTTCCAAGGGATTATACTGTTTGAACATGCCCACCAACAACGTAGGAGTGTTCCAGTGTTTCTCCACCTCTTCACCGACCTGTCATTTTTTGTTTTGTTTGTTCTTTGAAGAGCCACCCTAATGAGTGTGAGTGGTATCTCATTGTGACTTAAACTTTACATTTGTGTGATGACTAATGATACTGAACTTCTTCCGTGTGATTATCAGCCATTTGTGTATCTTCTTTGGAGAAAGGTCTATTCAGATCCTTTGCCCGTTTGTTAATTGTTGAGTTGTAAGAGTTGTGTATATATTCTGGGTACTGGACCCTTATCAGATATATGATTTGTATATCTACCTTTCCTGAGTCGATTGCAAAGCAGAACTTTCATAAGATTTGTATTTTGCTGCTACATTGTGGCCTTTACCAGGCCCTACCTCATATTTAATTATTAGTGTCTGGAAAGTCACCAGAATTTACATTCAAAAGTGGGGTTTGGGGTTAAAGGGAAGCATTCTGTGGGCCCAGGGTTTTGATAATGAGGTCATGTATGAGTCTCCCTGCCATCTTGAGAAAGTCATGGTCCCCATCTCCTTCAGTGGTAGAAGTCATGAAGCTTGAGGGTTTATGGCATTTTTATCCATGGTGGGATGGAAACTGTGTTTTTGCTTCAAAGTTAGATTTTTATCTTTTGCTCTTAGAGAAAAATTCTAGGGCAGATGAGCTGCCCCCGCCCTCAGTCACCCATCATTCCAGTGCATTTCTTCTGGTGAGGATGAGTTTGCATGTTTGAGGCGGCGTGGCTGGGGGAAGGCCTGTTCTTTCTCATCCGGGCTCCACTATGACTTGATCACTGCACACCTTATAGAAGCCATTGCTCCCCAGAACTGAGGCAGAATGGGGAGGGGAGAAGTGCAGCTGAAGAAGGTGGCTCTAAGTGACAGACTACGAGTCAGTGAGGACAGTTGTGTGTTCGGGAGTCTCTGCGAAGGGAGCAGCTCCACTTGCTCGCACGTTGACTGTCCCC